AAAACCCTGAGGGGGGTCAAAATTTACGTGCTGCCACCGCTTAGTGCAAAGTTAGTTGAGCCTCATTTTTTTAACATAACATTTTTCCCCATGGAAAAAAATGGCTTTAAAAAAGCTAATATTGGGAAAAAAAATGTGCCTTGTCCCATTTTTTTCACAGTGATCAAAATGCTATTAAATGTGTATTTTTTAGCACAATTGTGTTCTGACACATAACATGTAGGTAACTATTCATTTAATACTGCTTTCAGAAATAAATATGTATATTTCTAATAAACACATGTCTGTTTCAAACATTGTGAAACAAACCCAATATTCAAATGTTGACATTTTCTGCAAAGACTTACAAAAAAAAGGTTTTTTTACCATCTCTGTACTAAATATAGCAAAAGGCAAAAAGTAAAGCATATAACTCTACAGCTTGGGACAAAAAAATGTCATTGGCTATAGAACTGAGTGAGGACTTGTAGGAAACCACGGCTTGGTAGCTGTCAGCAGACCATGGTCAGTGAGCAAGGCAGACTGCTCCAGGCTGCTTTAATTTCACAGCCTCTCTGTCTTCAAATGCAGTTCAAACGCCAAGTGACGACAGTGGCCCTCTGCTTGGCTGCCGTGTGCGCCAAATTCTGGGGCGGGACGTGCCAGCAAGTGACTTGTGTAGGCTAAAATGAGCTCACCACATTTGTTGTAGGAGTTAGCTCCATACAAGGCCAAACCTTGTATCTGGCCCACCTGGGAGATTATGCTGGGGTAGGGCACCTAAACCCTGGGAAAAAGCATGGCTTTCAAGAGTGCTAAATCTGACTGAGTCTGCAGGGGACACGGGATCTGGTTCAATGGTTTTAGGTTCAGGATCAAACAAGATTTTCTTTGCTGTTGTTCAGAGCTTTTTTCTGGGGAAAACCTAAGTAGCTGCTGGCCTGATTGCTTCCCACTCCCCAACAAGCGGAGCTGGTGCCAGCTAACAGCTGGAGGAGCGCGGCCCCGTACAGAGCTGCTGGCTGCTTGAGGGATGGCTACTCGCTGCAGCCTGCAATGACGAGGCCAGCACAGCTCACCTCCACTGCAGCAGGGTCCTGTGGTTAAGGCAGATGGGAGCATCAGTCTGCCTCTGCACTTGCATAGCCATAGTAGTTATCATGCATGCTAGCCCACACAAAAGCTGTACAGCCCTTGCGCATGGATGATATACACAATACTGCTCCTGAGGGCCTCAGATATTCTATAAAATGAAGGACTTTGTAAGTTCTCCAAGAGCTAGCCTGTGAATGAAATTTGCAAATGAATACATGTAGCACCTTCCCGCAGGTTTATGTCTCTCTTTCTCTCTCTCTCTGTCCCCACCCAATCAAGTAAAAATATGAATTTTAAATGAATAAATGCACTAAGTATAGGTTGTCTCTTTTCTTTCTTTCCCTCCCTCCCTCCCTTCCTTCCTGCCTCCCTTCCTTCGTCTTTTCACTCTTTTGCCTCTTTCTCTCCCTTTCCCTTTCC